AAAAGTTGACACTTTCGTGGAATTGCCCAGGATATAACCTATTTTTATCTCTGAAAATCTTACCTAATAAATATTTTATGAATGATTATTTTATTTTATACATATGTTTGTATTCGTAAAATAAAATTTTTAAAGTGATATTTTCCTTATTCATAAGTTGTATATAAAAATATGAAATATTAATTATTAATATACGTTCAGTTCATTGGAAAAGAGAATTGTTGTATACAATGACAAAAAAGGCAAAATTTATTAAAAGCATTTTAAAAATATTTAACTACTGAAAAAGCAGTACTGAAATTGAAATAATGGATGCATAATGAAAACTTCTATATAATGTAGATAAATTAATAAATATGCAGTGAAATTTGCGTAAACAATTTAGGCGGTTTCTTAAAAGCTTATTGAACAAATTTTTAGAACTATTAAAATTGAATTTTCATTCAAAAAGTTTTCAAATATTTCTTTTTTTATATTATCCCAACTGGAAATAAAAGCATATTGGGCTTTTCAAATATTTCTGGATACTTTATTATCACTCAGTGACACATTTAATTATAAATTGATAGCTTTCTTCCTGCAGATTAAATAATCTAAAAGCTTATTCTAATTTTTACAAAATCAAAAGAAAATAATAATATTAAAATAAATTAAATAACTAAACCTGAACTTAAAAAAAAGAAATTACCAAAAATAAAAAAGCTAATAAATATGAAATTATTCAAACTCGAAAACTCTTTTCTTAAAAATACATGATGACGCATGATAGTAATATAGCACATACTAAAAGTTTTAGAAGCTTTAAAGGCCCTATTGAAACATTATTTCAGATCCAAGTATTATTTTGTTGTATTTTAAAGATATACCGATATGATTTATTTTTTCAATTACTTGCTGAAACATTTTGAGTTATAACTCTTAAATAAAGTACAATCTATCAAACATGTTTGAGGAGGAGTGTACCACTCAATAAATGCAAAATATAGAAATTAGATTTTAAATTAAATTATAATTACCTAATGTAAAACTTTTATCCGATTCAAGTCCAGTAAATGGCATTCTCAGCATATTCACGTCGTGTTAATAATTAGAGTTAACTACAAAAAATTTATGTTATCAAACTTATTGCAAATTTTTAAAAATGAAAAACTTACAGTATAAAAACTTAATCTAAAACATGGTTGTAATAATTAATATAAAATGGTTGATGATAATTACTATCATACTGAAAAAGATTATGTAGCATTCACGTTTTTAGGATAATGATGAATATATTAATAAAAGAGACTAAATTGCAATAAATAAAAAAACCAACATTTTTATGGTAAAAATTAAATTATTAAAAATCATAAAACTGATAATCATCATAATAGGAATAATTATTATCATTATGATTATGTTTATAACAATGCAATCCTAACTTCAGTTGTAATGCATGTTATGTTTCGCAGGTGCCGTCATCTTCAGAAGATGAGTCTCGCATCGATGGATTTTATGTCGGCTATAAGCTTGTGTCCAGCAAAGAACCATTTACTTTTGTCCCTGTTGACAATGCACGCTTAAATTCAGAACAATTTTACGAACTAAGTAATTTAAATCGAAATGTGGAATACAGCTTCATACTTCAGTCATTCAACAAAAGAGGAGCAAGTCCGCCATCTGAAATCATATCCGCAAGAACTTTACAGTTTGGTGAGTAATTTAAATTCATTAATTAAAACTTACTTGTTTGTCAGGATTTAATAAATTGGTGCGGAAGTTTACAAGTTAAATAGCCTTTCTTCGAGATCCTTTGAAAATAAATGTGTTTAATGTTTTGGTATGCTTTAATTAAGCACATGTTTTATCTTATTAAGATTTTGTAATTTAATTTTTGTAAGGTGTGTTGGTACTGGGATCGATTTCTGAGCCTATAGCGACACTTTGGTATCGGCCAACTTAGACCAAAAATGAAAAAAAACAACAACATATCTTTCGAAATATTTTGTTAATAGAGTTAATTTTTGTGTAGCTGTATTCTTCTGTCTTGGATTATATCACCCCTAATACAAACAAAATCATCCCTTACTTTCCAAAATTTACGGAGTATTGAAATATGACATAACATCCTCCGCCCTGTTGAAAACTATGAATGAATTAAATGCATCTGAGATTGGTGTAAGTTTTATAAATTAGTGGCGTTTAGATTTAACTACACTATTTAAAGTACGCATGAATTCTCGATTTGGTATTAACTTAAAATAACACAAAATGTTTAGGGTCTCTTAATATTCTGATGGGTATTACATCGCATTTATTAAAATTCAATTTTTTTCCGTCTAATTTTAAACTTGAATGTCGAAAAATAATTTTTACATGATCTATTATCTTTTATTTTTGCTTCAATGAAAGCAAAAAGTATAACTTCGGTCTGAAGAAGGTAAAATAAATTTTATTTTCCAACCATCCTTTGATTCTTTCCATTTCCTGCTGGCATTGTAGTATCGCCTGCCTTTGAAACGTTTATTGAATAAAAGAATATTAAAGAAAAAGAAAGAAGAAGAAAAAAAACTTACATTTGCTTCTTCTTATCCCGTAAGAAGAACAGGTATGCAGCTAGTAATCTTGGTAAAAATGCATAATTTTTGACAAATAGCTTTTCATATTTATAATTATAAACTTTGCTATTTGCAAACGGTTAAAAAAGAGTTCAATTTTGTATTCATGGTTTTATAACCATACTAGTTGCAAACGTTTTTAGTTGTAAAAGGTAAAGAACTTTCCTTACCGTAAACTTTATGGTTAATGGGATGGACAGAATGATGCCTGTTATTTCATCATAATTTTAGAATGAAAATTCTTAGTCTGGTGCTGGGGGAGGCTTCAGACTACAATTGGAGATACATTTAAAGCTTCTTTGCTCTAAATATTTGCGTTATTTTGCGTAATCCACTTATAAAAAGTAAAATAATGGGAATTTTTTTTGCACACATTTGTTGCAGATTAAATAAAGGAAACAATTATTTGTTGAATACGTTGTGTCTGAAACAATAATTTCCTCTATATAGTCACCCGTAACAGATATTTTTTTAATATTTGTATAATTAAGGCAATTTGCACAATCCTTTAATTCGATTAATGTTCGATTAATGTTTAAATAAATATTTTATGAATTATTTTACGATTGTAAAAAAAGTAATTCAATTCTTATTATCAGATTCTTGATTTCAATAATAATTTTTTTCATCAAATTCTGATCTCCTCTCGACTTATAACTTTAAATTACTCATTAGAAAATTCCAGCTTTGATAAAATTAGCAATATTTTTTTAAATAAAATAATAGGTACAGTATACTCTCGATATCTCGAACTTCTGTACATCGAAAACTTTTTTATGTCGAAAAATATTTTTCCCCGTTGGCATAACATATCAACCTAATGTTAATTTGAATTAATATGTAGAGGAGTTTCTTTTCTAAAACGAGTTATGGCGAATATTTTTCGAAATAAAATTCGAATTTTCTTCAGAAAAATCACTATGTAAGTCAATTGTAAGCCAATTATTTTCTATTTAATTCATAATCATTTATGTCTTACTTTAAAAAATTAAGTTATTACTGTTGTATTTAGACTTATAGTCAACTATCATTTCATACATATTTAAAAGAAGTTATTCATTATGTTTCATGACTCCAGCTTTTAGAGTATTAACTTAGAATATATTTTTATATTTTTCTACTTTTTCGAACATATTTAGTCCTGAACTTGTTATCTCGAAAACTCGCTATCGTAAAACTTTTTAACGTCCCTTCAACTTTGAGATATCTAGACTACACTGTAGTACCTAATTTCTTAATAACCACATGCAACACGTCAAATTTATTCATCTCTTTAAAAAAAACTGTAATTTTTGTTTCATTCACGAATTTCTTAGTCTTGATTAAAATGCCACCTTGAAGAATGTTGATAGATTAAACAAAAATGTATATCAAATTTTTTTACACAGATATTTTACATATAACTCTAATGAAAAAAAAACTTACAATGTTAATTTTTAAAATTTAATGACCTACTCTTTGTTTTTTCAGATAGACCATTACCACCAGTAATTAAGAATCATTACACAACTTCAACTTCTATAAAAATTACTTGGGAGTACAGAAGTATACCAAATGCACCTGTTACAGGTAATTTACACAAAAATTTTATAATTTTGATATTTTTTTAACCATGCCATACTCTTAAATGCCGTTACATTTAAATATCTAACTAGATACCTTAACATTTGTTTTGAAAGATAATACTTGTCACAGTATAATGTTTTAGGAGAAAAATAATTATCTTGGAGTTTAAAACTTGAAACTTAAAACTTGAAGTTTATTGAGCTATAGCTTAAACTCATTTAACATAAAGTTGAATAATTGTAAATAAAACTATAACATGCATAAAATGAAAATAGTTTGCAATAAATTTCATGTTCGATATGAGGAGCGAGTATTAAAGAATAGTTCGTTTTAATGCATCATCAAAATGGTGACTGATGTACGTTAAATCTGTCAAGTCACAAACTCCTCCATGTTCCCATAAAAAGTCGTGCTTCTTCGGGTACAGATCTAGGAGATTCCTTGTCTTCTAGATTGGGTTCAAAGTTAAAAGGCTACGGAGTTCATCAATAGTGTTGTAAACCCAAAATTGGGTCGGCAGTTCAACAACAGTTATAAAATATTTTTAAAAAATAGAAATGAGGTGATATTTTTTTCCAGAATTTGGAAACTACTCGTAATTTTTTCAAAAGTCTCGAAGCACTCGGATCTAGAGTACTTCTTTTGTACTTTGGATTCGTTTGCTACTTCTCTGGTTTTTATTGTAGTTAGAAATACGAAGCAAATAACTGATTCAATAGAATCAAAATTGTGTTTGTTTTATTTTTTTTTCACATTTTCCACATTTGTTAACTCCATTTTTTGAATCGGGGAATGGGTTACTTTTCGGAACTAATAAATAAGCTGGAAGTGAAATATCATTGGAATTAATATTGATATTGACAACAAATACCAATAGCTTTATAATTGATTTTTGTTAAAATAATATACATATACGAGTTGCGATAAAACTATTTTAGACTGGTTTTATGCACTAACGATCCAATTTTTACAAAGAATCCTTAATTAAAATTATGACTACTTTTATAATGATATTACAGCAAAATAAAAAATTCTGCGAATTACAACAAAAAAATTTTTTTTCATTTTTTTTTCAAATAGTTGTAAGTTCCAAGTTATTAAAAATAGTTTATTAAATAGTTAAAAAAAATTTGATTATTAATTTAATGCACGAAACCAATTGCGGCAAAAAGTACTGGAATCTTGAACTCAGCATTCATAGAGTCAATTTCACCCTCAAAATCTATTTTTTACTGTCAAATTTAACACCGTAAAAATTAGGGAGCATCAGATTTTTTTGTTCCATAAAATTTCACTCTAAAAATAAATTTTATGGGAAAAGTACTAGCATTCAGGATGACAGGGTTTTCTTTACTGTAATTTGATTCGGATTTTTTCACTCAGTTTTTACAAGATTTTATCCATTTTATTTACTTTTTCCCAAAATTAGGAAGAATGGTTTGAATTATTTGTCTTTAAGTTACTTGTTGATAAAAAAACAAAATTTTTATAAACAAGTTATTCGAGATATTTTGAATAAAATAAAAATAATATTAAATAAATCAAAAATATGAATTTCAATTGCTCTGGGATCTTCAAATTCAAAAAATTATATCCAAGTACATTTTTATAAGAATTATGGTTGAAATGTAGTTGTATACATGTATTGTTCATTTCAGGATTTATATTGCATCATCGAAGTGATGGAACTTTATGGCAAGAAACTGTAATTCCAGGTAAACGACATTTTATTTTGTTATTTTGACAGTGTATGTAATTAGAATTATTTATGTCTGAAAATTGCAAATTAATTATTTCTTTAATTAGGGGAAAGGACAGTTTACACATTGCACGATTTGTTATGTGGGACAAAATATTACTGCTTTCTGGTGGCAACAAACAGTGCCGGAAGAGGAAATGGGAGCGAAACAATATCCACTAAAACAGCTGGAAGTGGTACGTCTATTAAATCATAGTTTATAAGTTTTTTTTGTGCCTACAAAATCTGAAATATATCCAAGAAAAACTTAAAAAGTCAAACAATTGTTAGATTTCGTTTCTCATTTCATCATAAATTCTAATAATAAGCATCAGTTGCAATGAAGTTTCTCAGTTAAATAAAATCCCTTCATTCAACATAATTCACTGAGCCGAGAATTTTCTAGAAAGCGCTGACAATGATTGATTTCTAAATTTAAAAGCAGAAATTCTCAAAAACAACAAAACTGATGGGAATGATATTTATGGTTTAAAAAAGACCATAATTCTGCTTAATAAAATCAAAATATATGGTATTTAAACCATTTATTTGTAATTCTACCGCTCAGGTTTTCAAGATTATAGTTTAATTTTTTTTTCAAGATTAAAATATATTAATAATACTTACTAAATATGTGCTAATAATAGCTTATTATTAAAACATATTTAGTTAAAAATACAAAATAAAGAAGTAAATTCAACTGAATGAGTGGTTTTCATAACATGCTCTTAGATATCATTACAAAAATAACAAATTGTTTCATATTTACCAAATTTTATCACATGCTATAGGACAATATTTCATTGTTAATTTTACCAACTAGGTGCTTAAGTATAAATAATTAAGTATCAGTACTAGAGTGCTTAAGTATAAACTACCGCGTTATTTTGAGTTCTAATAGAGCCATAAACACGGTTAATTGAACCATATCCTGATGGTTTTAACCATACTTTTGTCTTACTTTGCTATTCATTCAACATATTTCGCTAACGAAACCTTAAAATTGTCTCCAAAAAGTTTAAAAAAGAGGATTAAATTAACAAAAATACTTCTGCATACGTAGAAATAAAGTGTAGGGAATGTTATGGGAAAAATATATTTAGTAAAATTAAGGAAATGTAATTACATTAGTATCGACAAATAAATTTCAACTTGCATGAAACCCAATAAAATCATTCCATGTAAAAAATATTTATACATCAGTTCTTTCACTTATAATGGCATAAGAAACCATTAATAATATAAAACCATAAAAAAAGTTTTTAATCATAACACCTTATTACGCTTACACCTGCACAAAAAATAAATAAAAAAAATAGGCTGCAATACGAGGGAAAAACACTTTTAGCTCTCTAGGTTTTTTTCAGCATTTTTTCAGAAATATTCTTAACTTAATTCAATGATCTCAGAAAACATTTTATCGAGCTTTTTTTCTTAGTATTTGTTTTACTTCTAAAGTAAGTAGAACTTAAAAGAAAAGATTTACTTTAGATGTCTATACTGTGCTGGAGTTCTTAATCTATTGATTTGCTTCTCAACTAAATACCGATGTGATCCGGCCTCAAAAAACTGATAGAAAAACTCATATTATGAAACCATATTTAATTGTTAATTTTACAGGAATCATAACGCTTCGATAAAAATTACCTAACTTTTTGGTGTTCTCATACGCTGTCCGAAATTTCTCAGGAAAAAAATGGTTAAATAAAAATTTATTTAATTGTTTTTTATCATGCTCGAACAAAATAGTCGAATAATCAAAAATAAGATGGTAATTAAACTGTAAACATGAGGTGAAACCGTTTATTAACTGCTTCCACCTAATATGGTAAAGCAGCCGGAATCTTATCGCACCAACTAAGCTCACCTATTGAAGGGACTTAAACCCTTGCAACTCCGTACATATTATAGCCAAGACGCCGTCTTGGCTATAATCTCCTTCTATAATCGCCATCTTGGCGGATCGTTTTGAAGACGGCTAATCTGTCAGTCTTGTGACTGGCAAAACTGGAGTTCGAGTCTCAGCGTTGACGCCAGTGTTTCTCCTCTCCTGCACTCCCCTATTTGTGTTCTGCAGTCTCCAATGCCTACTACATTATGAAAGCCTAGCTCCTATGTCCAGATAATTTCATTTTTACGGTTTTGAAACCATACTAGCTGCAAAGGGTTAAGGAATGTTAAGGGTTAAGGAATGAATCTTATGCGATGTTAAAAAACCGTGTAGTTTTGTATTCATGGTTTTACAACCATACTATTTGTAATCGGTTTCAAACCCGTAAGAGTAAAAAAATGCTCTTTATCATAATCTTTACGGATAATCGGATGGACAGACTGCAACCGGTAATTTTAACATAATTTTTAGAATAAAAATTCTAACAGTGTAGAGCCAAAAACCCGGTAAGCGTTACCATATTCTGGTAGTTTTGTCTGTACGCTGTTTCACCGTGAGTTCACTGCGGAATTCATGAAATGAGACATATCTGTATTGATTTGCTATGCTTGTAATCGTAATCTTTACGGATAACGTTTATCGCAATCTTTACGTTTTATCGTAATCTTTATGAATAATCGAATGGACAGACTGCTACCGTTTACTTTAACATAATTTCAGAATAAAAATTCTATCAGTGTAGAGCCAAAAACCCGGTAAACGTTACCATATTCTGGTAGTTTGCTTGTACTTTTTTTCTCGGTAAGTTCACTGCGGAAGTCATGAATTGAGACATATCTGTATTGATTTGCTATGCTTGTAATCGTAATCTTTACGGATAACGTTTATCGCAATCTTTGCGTTTTATCGTAATCTTTACGGATAATCGAATGGACAGACTGCTACCGTTTACTTAAACATAATTTCAGAATAAAAAATCTAACAGTGTAGAGCCAAAAACCCGGAAAACGTTACCATATTCTGGTAGTTTGCTTGTACTTTTTTTCTCGGTGAGTTCACTGCGGAAGTCATGAATTGAAACATATCTGTATTGATTTGCTATACTTTTAATCAAATAAAAGTGTTAAGAAAACATACACTAAAAAGACAGATATTTTGGAGGTTATATGATCTTAATGCAAAAATGTTTAGGATTCTTTTGGCTAGATGTCTCTTATGTTATTTTATATGATATTTATAAACGACCCGGGATTATGTCTTCTGGGTGTTCCCCAGAATTCCGATTTTTCATATCTTCCTTCCAGGTCTAAGAACTCGTAGCAGAGAATGTGATTTGTCCACGAATCTCGCAAAATTCCGTGTTTCGTAAGACTATTGATCTGCAGCCTCTCACGAATCAAAACTTTTAATCTGATTAAATTTTTACTGCAATCTTAAATTCAAATCAAGAGTTGAAGACTTAAAGTAAAAATTAAAGACTTCCAGAATCTAAAATTTAATTCTTGAAAATTTCGACAAATCGCGTTAACGATTTGTTCACATACATATGATTCTCGAATTTGATTAAATTGTCAGACAATTTTATTAGGGTTGGCCACTAAAGTTTTCAACTCCATACACTAGAGCTGCCGCTGCTCATGGGACAGAGCGCTCGCTTCCAGATGCGGTGACCCGGGTTTGATTTCTGGCGTTGACTGGTCTAGCAAATTCTGATCTCCGCTAGCACGAACCACAATACTGACACAGTTATTTTATATAGTTTCATCCTTATTAAAATAACAGAGTTTGTTCGTTATAATAACAGTACTTTTCTGCTTAAAAAATTAGCGTCCGTTTTTCGATAACAGTATCTTCCTGTGAAATAAACGGTTTTACATTGGCACATCAATTGACAGTCTTTTTCTACAAACTTAACAAGTTATTTTTTACAGTATATTTTAAGCTTAAAAAAAATTTTAAAATTTAAATTTATAGAAAAGTTACATTTTTTTAAAAAAAATTAGAAGCGTTTGTGATATGCATGCATATATGTAAGGTTATTACAATGCTAAATTTTTTTATTCATAAAATATACAAAAAGTAAGGATATTAATTAAATATTATGATTTTTATCTGAGAGAAACATTTTGTCATATTGGTGATTTTTAAAAAACTTAATAAAAGTTTCCATATTTTAACTATTTGTCCGTTTTAAAATCCTGATAAGTTTTTTGGCTCTATGGTTTTGAACTATTACTATTTATCTATTTATTTTAATGGTGAATATTTTTCTTAGAACAGCCTTCACGGTGACTCGTGGGATGACTCATTCTTATCAAAACATTATCCAGCCTATTTATTTCTGTGTAAGAAATTAAATTGTTCTGCAATCTCTCAAAACTAAAAATCTCATGTTTGGTGATTCAGCAATCCTTCAGCTGTCTTTCTTAAATTTTGTGGATCATTTCGTTATGAAATCATGTGATTTGCGACGAAATGTGAAGTTTCAAATTTATGACTAAAATATTTTCTCAACTTGAAATCTCATCCTAGTGCATTGTGGGAGATGGTTAGCTAGAAAAACGAAACTTGAAATTTGGGATATAAAATTATTGGACAAGCCGACATGCATGAATAGGGGTCAAGAAGCTGGTCTAGGCCGGGATAGACTGGTCGGTAGGGCACTGGACCTATGTTCGAGAGTTCGTGGGTTCGAACCCCGCCGGCCGAAGACTCCCCGTGAAGTAAAATGACTGATGTACGTTAAATCTGTCGAGTCGCAAAAGTCCTCCAAGTTCCCATAACAAATCAATACCTCTTGAATTACTGGATTGGGGATCGATCGTTCTCTGATTCAGGTCAAAATTTCGATCTGTGGATGGGAGAATGGGTCTGCTCTATAAACGGATGTGACGTATGATGTGGAAGAAATCGGATTCTTGTTCATAGATGGCGCCACTGAAGAACAAGAAACGCACACTCTGCTTAACTTTGTTTCGTTTCACCAAGCAGATTTGTCCGTGCAGCAAGTGGCATTAGAACCAACCAACCCAACCAGAAGCTGGTCTTATACCAGAAAGATCATGGGTTCGAAGCTTGCTTCGGGCCTAGTTGTTATTTATCTCTCACTTTTATCTGTCCTTTTCGCGTTGTCTGGGTGACGTTGATTCAACTTTATAGAGCGTTTGATAAAGTGATTATTAGGAACATTTGTTACGAAAGTTCTTTATTTATTTATTTATTATTATTTCGAAGATAATAAAATGGCTGGGTATTTCTTTTATTTTCCCGAAATTTGGTTCCTTGAAGAAAGAGCGACAGTCGTCG